AAGGACTTAAATGTATTTGGCTAAAGTCCTCTTCTCGATGCCCTTTAAATTTATCTATATAACATACTTCAATGAAAAGAAGCTGAAAAAAAAGTTACGAGGGTGATCAAATTAGATTCCGAATAACTCAAAAATTATACACTTTTTTGTTGATGTTGTATATAGTTATTTAAAAGTTTATAAAATTTCCTAAAAAACAAAAAAAATCGTTAAAATCGGACAATTTGGAGCAAAGATGTGGTCTCTAGATGTTTTTTTATATGTTCTATTGCAAAGGTTATATCGTTTGTTTTGAATTTTGATGTTTGAATGTATTCATGAGGTAATGCTATATTTTTTATCAAATTACAAATGATGAAAAAAAATATTTAGGTCAATAATTGCAATCACCTTTTACCTCTTTATCTTTGTAACTAGGAAGGTTATGTTACTTTAAATGTATAATTGTTTGGAAATAATAAACCATCATGAAATAATTTGCAGCGATCTTTTTCATTCATAGCTTAATTTTGTATTATATAATCAATAAAGCATTTTTATCAGTAGTAGTAAATAAGATTGCGTAAACGAAAAGGAAAATGGTGGATGCAATCGATTTTGTTTTTATCTTTTATACCCTACATCCCCTTTTCAAGTATACAGAGAGGGGGATTATAGACCAGTAACCTTGTCATGATAAGGAGGGTCTAAGATAGTATATAGCAAAATAAATAGTATAAAGGTGTTATCACTCTTGAATCAGTGGAACCATAGTTCATTCATTTTATGCAAGGATCTCACCCCCTGAAGATAGATTAATGCCATTACCCTGGAGGAAGTGGTTGTCATCAACCAGACCCCACCTGAATGATTGCTGTAGTTAATAGGCATTACCTCGGTTTCCATTCAAAAGCCATTTAAAATTGAATGATTCACTTTTTCTCTTTTTATTATTATTATTTTTTTTTTTTTAAGAACACTTAAAAGGATAAAGTAGAGGATATACTTTCTAAGGAAAAAAATGTCAAATTACAATTAAATATTTTATTTTAACAACTATTGAGAACATAGGCATAATTTTAAAGTTAAAAAAAAAAAGAACACTAATAAAAATAAATATTGGCCAGCATTTTTTTTTAATTTAATTTAATTATTTTGTAAAAGTTTTCATAGCTCTTACTTTCAAAAACATTAACTCAGCATTTCAATTTTCAATTACAGAAAAGTCTTCGGAAATGTTTTAAATATTAAGGTGTTATAATTCAAAATGTGTTAATTTGGAAAAAAGAGTTCTGAATTATTTTTAATTCTAAGGCCACAGTTATAAGTAGATAAACTTTTACTGAGGGCTATAAATTTCTCAATAAATTATTTTAACTTACTGAGAAATTCATGATCCATAAACGTAAAGTTTTATGGAGAAAAACAAAAATAAAAATCTGGAGTGCGCAACACAACTTTCACTTACCGCTCAACTTTGAATAGAAATTACTTTCTGGCCATGTCGAGCTACAATAACATTTTTTAATTGCATTTTTTACCGAGGTAAAGCTAAAAGCTTACAGCTAAAAACCTGTACCACTACAACCCATGAAGGGTCTTGGGTTCAGTACTATTTAGGGAAAGTACAGTTTCTAGGTCAATTGTGCAATGAGGTTATTTGACCGAGATCACACTCAAGCGCCAGGTTTTCCCCCTTAATTGATTATTTACTTAAGGGTACCCACTTTACAGAGGCTGGGTGTGCCCCTAGGAGGGTCTCCCAACCCAAGGTCACCCCACAGCCAATGAAACAGATAAATAAATTTTCTGCCATGAGCCGGGGTTAAAACCTGGGACATTTAGCATTGGAAGCTCAGTTCCAGCTAAAAAATAATAAATACCATTAAAATAACAAAAGTCCTATTTATTATATCACCGGTTGATTATGGATTGTACGACTATTAGTTATTAAGCTGTTATTTTCTAAAGTTTATTAAAATGGAATTAAGAGATGTACATGGTCTAATATAGACAGGTCGAAAGTTGTCACACTAATTGGAAGTGGATACTGTTGGAATAGAACAAAGGGAAAATTCATCAAATTATTCACTAATTTAATTTTCTAAAAGGTTACATGATAATTTTTCGGAATAAACTGACAATAGATGCCTAATTATTTAAATATAATATCAGATCTGGAGTTACTAAACTACAGTAAATATATTTAAGGTTATGAACATACCCATGAAATATTTTTATAAAACTGTCCCAAATTCTTTCAATAGTTATATTTAGCATTTTTTCATAACTCCTAACAAACAGAAATAGTTAATATTTATAATAAACCAAATTAAAGGTACTTTAGAGGAAGACATGATAATTTTGGGATTTCACAAAGGGAAAATTCATTAAATTATTCACTAATTCTATTTTCTAAAACGTTACATGACGATTTTTCGGGATTATCTGACGTTGATACCTAATTATTTAAATATAATATTAGATCTAGAATTATTAAACTACAGTAAATGTATTTAAGTTTATAAACATATACTTTATACATCCATGTATTATATAAAATAATGATTTGATATTTCACTTCTTCTTTCACACAAATACAATTAAATAGTTTTTTAAACAATGGCATTGCATTGATTAGGTGGATTTTAAATACTTTTGCCAAACCCAAATAAAAATGTTAAAAGTTTACATTTAGTTAGTAAATTGCATTTACTTTCCTTGAAAACAAGTGATTAATGTTAAATAATATTAGTTTTCAAAAATTATTATTTATAATTTTTTCGCCACACTCCGTTAACTTCTACAACTTTCTATATTAGATATTGTTTTTTCTAAAATTTTCCGCTTTCCAACAATATATTATACGTATACCTTCTGACTAGTATTTCAGGAGATTCAATTTCGACCTGGATAAGCATTTTTATTATTTTCTCCTTTAATCAATTAACAAATTCTTTCAAAAGTTATATTCAGTATTTTTTCGTCACTCTTAAAAATGTGACATGATTAATTATTTAAAATAAACCATATAAAAGGTGCTTTAGAGGAAGACTTATATAACATTGGGCATTTAAATCCTGTAAAGTGACATAAATGGGGAAAAGACCTGCTTGATATTAAGGACCACTTAATTGTACAATGATACACCGAGTTTAATCTAAATCGTTAGAGCTGTTTCAGACTATTATTTATACGATAAAATGTAAGTATGTGGATTATATTTCTTAAATTATATTAAACATGTTGAATCAAAAATATTCCTTCATCCTATCTAGAGAACTTTAATTTATTTTGAATAATTGAAAACCTAGAGGCTGGCTGAGCTGAACCACTGAATAGTGAACCAGCCTTAAACATGATCTGCTTTACAAGGCTGCTGTCATCTCAAGAGAAAATCCTTTGAAAAAGACATCATATTACCATGCATGGAAAAGAAATCAACATTGTGACGGTAATGATATCAAACACCAGAGAAAACATTTCGATTATTCAAGATTCAACAAAATGCAAAGAAAACTCAAAAGATTTCAGCTTCGTACAAACACCTTTTAGAGACAGAATTCATTTTAGGGGAAAAAATGGAGTAATTATATCTAATTAGCATTGAAAATGACAAATAAGGAGAGGGGAAAGAAGGGCGAAGGCTATCCATTAAGGCAATATCTTATCCATGAGTCAGAAAAGCTTTTTTACTTGAAAAGAATTATTCTCTCAACATATTATAGTAAAACATTATATTCCTATTCACAATTCTTATCAATTGTTGTTTTTCAATTGATTAATCAAGCTTCAAATTCAATCAAAGAGAATACAGATAAAAACTAATACAATCAAAACATTAATAAAGAACCAGTTGAACAAGTATGAACTTCTGAAGTTCGAACAAAAATTAAGTACTGGAAGTATTAAACAAAATTAAGAATAAATAACGACTCCAATGACCTGCTTGGGTAAATATTGTTAAAAGTATAAAAAAATTAAGGTTCCTGAAAGGCATTAAATTTTGCAATAGGAAGAGGAAAAAATAAAATATACAAATAAAATTATTATTTTATAATGTTCAAAAATTTCTGATCAATTGCTACAAAATATTCAAACAAAAACATCACTGGTATAATGTCTCATTTTCACAAAACAATTAATATTCTTAAAATTTCTTATAATCAAGTGATGTATTAAAAAAATGTATATCATTCATAACATCATTAAAAATAAATACGAAGTATCTCATCTAACTAAAAAAAATAACTTTATAATACATTTTCTTAGAAAAAAATTCAATAAAAATTAACATCACATATAAAAACAATTATCAGTAAAAATATTTTCAAAAAATACTTCATTTTCAATTACTTTACTAATTTGTTCAGATTACATACTAGCAATAAGACTGGTGTTAAGCGATAAGAAAAGAAAGTACAAGTGTTTATCTTATAAGCTGTTAAAGGTATCACGGTGCTTTCCATAATCTATACAGAATTTTCATAGAAGGTGAATTTATTAGATGGCAGCCATGGAGTCTAGATGGCCAACAGACATTATTTCATATACAAGTGCCCAAGCAATCATACACGAGTCTATGTACATCAAAACTCATTCAATAACTTATTAGTTGTGGTTTTTAAGACATGTCATGTATATTTCACTATATAACAATAAATTTATAGTCCAATACTTTATTTCAGACTAAAGACAAAATTGTGAATTTCCATTATGTTTATGACAAACAATAGCTAAATACATGATATCATCCAATAGTTATAAGATACATAAGCCCATCCTAATTTAAACCTATGTTATGAATGATTTTGAGAGTAGAAATGATTTCACAAAATGGCTATCCTTAAATTATAAGCAGACATTCACATCGGCATGAAAGCTTCTATGTAAAACATACATCATAACTTACAAGTTATCACAAACTTGGAAACAAACTATTGTCATTATTATTGTTTAAATGCCTGCTTTCAGATTGTGTCTTCATCATGTAATCTACACAAATTACTATTTTCACTTACACAATTCGGCGAACCACTTCTTTGCATTATAACATCTTGGATTGGTGCAGTGCGGACACCTGGTTAAAAATTTTGGACTGACTTTACAATCACCTTTCAAATGAGAACTAACGATATCTGCTAGAGCAGAAATAAAGAGTGGATGATCATTAGGAGCAGCAGCTCTTCTGATGCATTCAACTCCCAACTAAAAAAAAAAAAAAAAAAAAAAAAAAAAACATTTAAATACCTACAAACAATACTACAACTATATTTTATAAACTAGTCTCTAAAACTATATTTTGTATGCAATCATAACTGTACAACCAGTAGTAATACTAACTGAGAATTTTCACAATTCACAACGATAATAAAAAATCATGAATAAATAAATCTCAGTAATATGTTTTAAGCTATTGTTCATTTAAGTTCAATTAAGTTTTTCCATATTATAAAATTAAACAGTTCATATGTCTTGCCTAAAAAATGGGTAAAGAGCAGGTATATCAATTAAAATAAAAATCAATTTTGTTTATGTCAAACATTGTCACTTACAAGGGTAGATTACAGACCTGGGGTGCTTATTTCAATGGAACATTTTTTTTTTTATTCGTATAAAATTGTGGAATATAAAAGTTATTGGTGCGGTTGGGAAGAGTTCAGCTTTCCAACAGTCATAGAAACATAGAATTAAGAGAAAATAATGAGGAGTTATGAATGTTTTAGTAAACAAAATGAAAAAACAATTTCCCATAAAATTAAGTCCAACAATTTATATTTCTTTATTTCAAAACAAAATCGTATTTTAGAGTTTTAAAGGATGCTAGATACGAATCTGTACTAATTTTACATGACAAAAATTTACTTGTTCTACTTTACTGGAAGCTTCATTTGTTTTTCATAATTTATTATACAGTTTAAAATGTTTAATACAATGAACAATATGTTTTTCTTATTTTACACACACACAAAAAAAAAAAATTATCGATATATAATAATCTAAAAATCCATGCAGGTCAAAGACAGAAAACAATGATATAAAAAAAAGTATTTAAATTTTATCTTTTTATTTTATTTTTTGCTCCTAGGGCACATTGGTAAGAACCCTGAGACATGGATCAAATATTTGACCTAGGATCACCAAAAAAAGTTTCATTTAAAATGCTTTAGTTTTAGCAAATATTCTCATCACACATGATGTTCCCAAAGCAGAATATTTTCCACCTTTCTTTAACAATTTGTCCAAAAAAACAAAAGTTTCTAAGAGCCTGACAGTAATAATATATCTAACATAATTCATTTTTTGATATGTCATGTTGTATTTAGATTTATTTCTTTGAACAAAAAACACGTTTGCTGCTAACAAGGAGTTATCTCGTAGATTGAAGTTATCTCTAGCCGCTAGCTATGAGTTAATTAATAGATTGTTTTACCAATGCCACATACGATCAAACTTATAGTATATTGATGTTCTTATATTTGGATTCTTATTAGGTAATCTGGCATTGGGGACAGGCATGGTGGCACTGTTTTTGAAAATATCGCTCAGCAACAAATGTGTTAATACCATATTCATTAAGAAAAAAGTTTTGAAAAAAAAATGAAAAATTTAAAATACTGAAATAAATACCAACACAATCAAAAAGTACAAGAAGAATTCGAGAATTCAGGATGAATCTCAGCATTTGACAATTTTAGAAGGAGCTATAATTAATTCTTTCAAATAATTCACTTATCACAATTCTTAGGTTCAAGATTTATGAATCACATTCTTATAGGCTATGAGAATGATTCAATAGATCCTTTTCATTGATATCTGACACATGTCTTAAAGTAAAATAATCGAATTGTTTTGAAAAACTGAAAAAAATCTAATAAACATTACATTTCTTATCAGGAAACAGTTACACAGTGGACACTGTTTTATTTACTACATCAAATGAACTTTCTGCAATCAAATTTTCATTTATGCTATCTTGATGGACGGGAATTTTTTTCTGTATTCTCATTAAGATTCTATGACAATGCTTGATACTTGTGCATTATTCTGCTTGAAGCAGATGAAGACCAGTTCAAATCACTAGAATGATATCTATATTCACCCTAATGGCAAATTGAGATTTATTTACCAACTAGCATCTTCTGTCTATATTCTTAACTAATAACGTTTTCCATGTTCCTTTATCCAACTCAATAACTTCACACACACACACATTTTAATTTTTCTAAAACTAATAATAAGTAAAGAAAGAAACATAACCAGGAAGTAAAATCATAACAAAAAAAAAAAAAATTAGATGAACATTTTCAAAATCACTATTAATTGTACCATATTTACTTATACTGTTACCTCTTCTCCAAGTTCTTTGCAGTATTCAATGTCCAACTCATGCAGTGTTTCAATATGTTCATTAACAAATGCAACAGGAACAAGAATAAAATTTTTCTTCCCTTGTTTTACATAACCTAAAAAAAAAAAATACAATAATATAGAACACATAATTCTTATTGATAGCAAATATTTAAGTTAAAAAAGTAACCTTTTATAGCTTCATCAGTATAAGGTTGCAACCACGGTAGTGGGCCGACTTTGGATTGCCAGACCAAACAGTACGGGTTACAATAAGACAATTCCTGCATAACAAGTTGCACAGTAGCCCCAACTTCACTGGGGTAAGGATCACCACGGTTTACAGCCTAAACAAATATTATTAATGGTAGTTAATCAAATTTACTGCACATAGATATTTTATAACTTATTTGAATTTAAAATACCATAAGCAGACTTAAAACTATGCATAGAGGCCACGATGGCAGCAAATTTGTGTAAGGGTCTCCGACCAACCAATTCTGGTGTGGTACAAAACCCACTTCAGTCACGGTGGTCTATTAAACAATCTTAGAAGAAAAGATTGGTTAAAAATATATAGCCATCTTTAGAAAACTGATAGGTGAAAAATATCATCTGGTTTGATTGTCAGGTTAATTCCCTCAACCAATACTAGTACAAAAATGTAAAATGTATTTCACCCTTAAATTCATAAATGGACATAGATAAGTGAAGTAAAGTGAATAAAAAATTATCACAAATTAAATCAGTATTACTACCAAGGAAGTATTTAGAACTGGAGAAACAATACATGATAAGTTTCTTAAATTAATTGTACTTCAAGCTTTATTTATACGAACAATTGTGTAAAATATGGGTACCATTAGACCAAAAGTCAAGCAACAACATTTAATTAAATAATAAAATTATAGCTTGCCTGTAATTAGTTGGGAGCTCTAGAGTCATGCAGCATTAAATTAAACTAATGTCGTGTTTTATTCTACTTCTAATATCATTTAAAAAATATTCACAAACCAGTATATGTATATATTTTGTAAATATAGGAGGATAAGGAGAAAAAAATTAGTTTTAACTTAGTATTTTTTTGGTTCAATAAAAGGCTGCCAACTAATCATGGAAAAGTCGTCAGAATTGTGAAATCCCATATTTCCTACTAACACTATTTCAAATATGTTTTCACATTTAATAGCAAAGTAGAAAATTAGGAATCATAACAAAAAATAAACACTTTATATACTGGCTATCACTCATTAATGACATACTTAGTTTGGGCACATTTGTTTTCAGCATAATTTTCAATAATCAAAATGTACTAGCTAAAATTCCTTAGAAACCCGATTCAATCCTGGTAACAAGCCAGTAAAATGTTCAATGAAACGTTAACCACCATTTAAAACTTAATAATTGGTAATTGGTTGACTGTCGTGGATAATGAAGAGATGAATAGTTGGGGTGCTCAGTCAAAAAAGGAAGGCAAAAATAAATTATAATATTTATTTTTTACATCTGCCGACGTTTCGACCTGAAGTTCAGGCCATCATCAGGGCTAAGAAAATAACCAGATAACAAGGTATGAGAAACTTAATTAATGATGGTAAAAAAGACTTTTTTCTTTAAAAAAGACTTTCTTTTTTACCATCATTAATTAAGTTTCTCATACCTTGTTATCTGGTTATTTTCTTAGCCCTGATGATGGCCTGAACTTCAGGTCGAAACGTCGGCAGATGTAAAAAATAAATATTATAATTTATTTTTGCCTTCCTTTTTTGACTGAGCACCCCAACTATTCATCTCTTCATTTAAAACTTAACATGCATTTATTTTTTATAATAATGTTGTTTACTTGTTTGTAACTATAACCATTAACATAATTAATTTGTTTTAACTACAAGAACTAATGCTCCATAAATAAAAAAGTTATAGTTATTATAAATAAAAATTATAGTTAACTATTACAGCTAATAGCTATTTAGTTGGAAGAATTATTTATGGGCATTCTGCTGCTCTTTTAATTAATAATTTAACACAATTAAAGGCAATTTAGTAATAGTATTTATTTTTTAGTTACAGTTAACTTATGCTCAACTCTGTTGGTTGAAAAGCATTGGCAATACAAAATCAGATTAACGGTTGAAAAGAATAAGTATTAAAGTCCATTAACAGGCTATTGGGGCCGGTATAGCAGAATGGTTAGCACACTATACTAGTAAAGCAAGATCATAGGATCGAATCCCGGCCCTACTTCTCAATACGGCTGGTCCCCACGGGAAGTTAGACCATTACCCCTTCTTAATTAGGTGAGGTCTACAAGTTGCACAATACTTGTAAGAACAGGGTTTAAAAAAAAAGAAAAAATGGGCTATTGGTCAATAAAGTGTGAATTATGACAATTTATAACAATAAATCAATGAGATTTCAGAAGCTGGATCGATATACTACAAGACCCTCATGACAAAGGAGCTAATTAGCTAGTTAATAGAATAGATGAAAATAGAAATATTCAACAATGATTATGTAAACCTTCAATGGCAGAGAATGTGCAGAAAATAATATAACCACATCCTTTTGTGTTTCTTTCGGAAATAGTTTGAGTTCAGATGTGATTCTATCAGCCACCGTTTTTGTAAACAAAGGATGTATTGGCCACCTATCAATTAGACTCCATTTTATATTTGGATTTCTTTCCCTAAAACAAACAATAATTGATGTTCATCATAGAAGTGAACAGGAGTAGGTAAGCTATGAATAACAAATAATCTTTTACAAATATTCAATCATACATTTTCATATCTAACATATGAAAAAAAAATTATTAAGTCATTTATAAGTACAACTAAATATTCTCAGGACACAATATCAGCCAAATTACAGTATTATCAAAACCAACATGGACTAAAAGCACATAGCAATAGTTACAATTACATATCAATAGATAAAAAGTTTATATGTTAAATTAAGCAGCATATCAAACTACAAATATTGCTTTCTTAATAAGTATATAACATTTGTATCTATACCTCAGGATTAAACTGCATTATGTCATTTTAATTAAGCTGTCAGAAGAGAAGTTTGAATGTTATTTTATATTATGTAATAAATTATATTTCTGCTTGCAAAGAAGATGGAGCAAATTCTGTTGGCGTTCCTTAAAAATTCAAGAATTCAATACTTTTCGGAAAGGTATATCTTATAGGATATTTTAGAATGTGATGATATTTTAACCATTTTGATACCAAGTAATCTACAAAAGAGATTTAAAAATATGAAAGTTACCAATTAACTTTCCTACAGCTTTGTAGGCATGAATCAAAGAGGTTAATCATTCTAGAATAGCCATTTAATTGAATTTTTCCTTTTTACAGAACAACAATGGTATAGAAAATATTTATAATCCACCTGATAGGCCAAATACACAGTAACATGTCATTATAATGAAGTTTACTTCCAAGATACAGGTATAGTTAGTTTCATGGTCCACGAACTTACCTGTTTGACATGAATGTATAGAGAGCATTAAAACTAGACCCACTAGTAGCACAGCTATATTGTGGATATTGTGAAAAAATAACAACTCTTTCTGGTCCATCTCTACAAAAAATAAAAATAAGCTGTTAGATAATGGTTTATTATTAGCTCATTAACTTGAAAAAGGTTGAGACCAAAGTTGATTGACCTTTCAATTTCCTGAACTGTTTCTTCAGTTAATGGATTAACATATCTAAAGGCAACATAGTGCTTATGAGGAGCAGTACTAGGAGATAAGTTATCAAGCTTATGACACAACAACTCGCCCTAAAAATGTTTTCAATAATATGACAAACAAGACAATAAATATTTAAATATCCTCATGTCCCAAATTATTACCTGCAATTTAGTCCATTTATGAATGGGAGAACCACCACCAATTTCGCCATATTTTTTCTGAACTTCTGCAGTTCTTCTTTTGGCGATGTATGGACCTAATGTACTAAAAATATATTATAACAGCTATCTTAAGAATTTAAATATAACAAAATCTATTAGCTATTGAAACCGAGAGGTAACCTTTGAACTGGAAGCTGAATCATATCCCGATCTGTCATTATTCTCAATAAATAGTCAGGTACTTGGTCAGTAGTTTGGGGGCCACCCATGTTTAACATCATAATAGCTGTTTTAACGTTTTTCTTGGCATTTTTACTGTAGTTACAGGACAAATTCTTTAAAATCTGACCTATATAAATTAAATGCTTAATAAAAATATTTAAAAATACATATAAAAACGAAAATGACCAATTCAGGGTTCATTAAGTATTTATTTTAACAAAAAATAATAAATACCCTTTGGTCGCAAGAAGGAAAAATAAGAGCACATGCTTTTCAATTTCAAATACAGCTGTAGAAACAAATCACACTGTCACCCTAGAGTAACAACTAACTCATTGGTTAGAATCAGCTGTGGCTAGTAACGTCATACACGGTTTAGGTTTGCCGCGTTTTTCAAACTTCAACTAGTTCTGTTTCTAATAAATTTATAACAAATCCCGGAAAATCAAGAGTAATAAATTCCGTCTAACCTTTTGAAATAACTTGTATGCATACACTGAAACAAATTAGGAATGGTGAATTAGAAATTCCATAAATTGTAAAAAAATAACGGGCTTTCTTTAAAAAATTAAATTAAAAAATGGTTGAAGTAAAGCAGAGTATGGAAATGTCTGCGGTAAGTCATATTAATCATACTTTTCTTCATTAATTCAGAATTTTTAATTTGTAATTAGAATTTTACTTGAGGTATAAAGTTTATGTTATATATAACATTCATTTTTAAAAAGTTGAGGAAATAAGACCTACCCATTATCTTATCTTATAATATGTTGACGTTCGGTGGTGTCCTCCATCTTCATAACATACGTTAAATGCTGGTAATCAAATAATTATTGTTTACCAAAAAAAGCAAGTTTGATTAATGGTCTTTATTACAGTTTTAAATAATATGGCATGATAAATTCAATGTATATTATTGACATACGATAATTGTATGATTACAATATATGAGGTTTATTTTGAAGATCATGGGACACAATCGAGACATGTTAAATTATTATAAAAGAAAATAATATAGAGGATTTATGGAAGAAATTTTTCTCAACGTGTAAATCTTAATTTAGATTGCCTATTTAATTCAGAAAGAAGATTAAATACTTTATTTTGATTTTAAATTATATAATTGATTCATCTCCTTATCTTATATGTTTAGTTTTATCTAAGCCCTGTCCTCCACTTTCCAATTTTAATTTCATTAATTGGTACTGTTATCTAAAGAAAGGTGTACCTACCGGTTTTGTTTTTCAAAAATAACTTTTATAAGAATGATTAATTAACCTTACTGACCTATGCCTCATTTACAAACATTTGCAGCAATAATATGATTGTCTTGCGATCTAAATCGCATGAAGGATTTAAATTGGAACAATATCCATTTATAAAGAAGAAAGATTTGTTTATAAGGAGTTATGATTGACTATTATTAACAGAGCCTTAAAAAGAGCTTTATAAGTGCGAAACATTTTGCCCTTAACGTCAAATTATAATAATCCATCAACATTTTTTTATCAATTAAATTTCTATCATAAATCCAGGCTCTAAATTCATTAGTTTTTCTATGTATTTTGTGTCATAATAATTATTAGTAGCCATAGACATTAGGCGCTCTTGAACAATTACGTCAAGGGCGCCCCTCTCTCCTTCCGGTAGACATACAAATATTATTCAGGATAAGGAATATATTGTATTTAATTTTATATGTGTGTATTTAATTTTATATTTGGATTTTTTTTTTTTTTTTTTTTTTTTGTCTCCTCTTCCTCCCATTTTCGGCTATACGGTTTTTTTTTTCGAACTAGGAGAGAGGTTCTTTTTTTATTTTGTCAGAATCATTTAAAACCTTGAGAAAAATAAAAAGTGAAAAAATTAGTGAAATTTGGTTTAATATTTTAATGTCTTTCACATTAAAGTAAATATTAATAATTTTTTACAATTTTTAACAATTATTGATTACGTTTTATTATGAACACATAAATAAAACGTGCTAATGAGTTGAAAGTTATTGGAGTTGTACAGCAATTTTATCACATTCTTTGGCAGTACAATCAGCAGCCAGACAGTAAGGTATGTTTTAAATAGAATTTAAAACCAATCCACTACATTATCAATAAGAAGTATTACAAATCCAAATTAATCCACAAAATTATATTATAAAAATACCTCCCTCACCAAGGTCGTATTTACTCTTAGTTTTGTTTGAAAAAAGTATTAAAAGTGATTTAGTTGTTTAAAAAATTAATTTCTTTCTGATGTTTAATTTTTGAACAACTTATAATTTCATTCGGAATTTAATTAATAAAAATTGTAGAAATAGAAAAGAAAATTATACATAAGGCAAATTTTTAACACTAACTCAATTCTCAATCGACCTAGGCCACTTTGGAGGAGCTACAAAATTGCGAAAAACATCAAAAAGCTGTAAAACGCCACTGTAAAAATGGCGGGAGTAATGAGAAAAGTTGAAACTCCAAAAATCACTTATCTAATAACTCAATTTATAAAAAAAAATCAATCCTTTAACTTTATTTGAAAGTGCTGCAGCAGGGTTTAAGGTCGTGATGACCGAGCGTGTTGAAGCGTTGCCCGTTTTAGTTTCCTCGTGCCTAGCGCTGGTTCGAATCCGACCTAGGAGAGGTTGACATTTATTTCGCGGCGAACACACGGAATGATACTGCACCCTCTCACTGTGCTTAGAATAGATTTGTCGTGCCTCTCTAAAACAACTCCCTTTATGCCAAAAATGGTGACTAGAGGGTTATCTAATAAAGATAACGAACTTATCTTGCTTACGACAAATTGAAAAATTTGTCAATCCGTTCGCTCAAAAAATCAGTACATATCTTTTAACAATTTTTTTAAACATATTTCATTCATTTAATCATGATTAAATTAAATATGTATAAACTCCCACGATCATGGAACATTTAAATTGTTTCAAAACTCTTAAGATCACGCCGAAAAATTTGAGCCAATTTCAAACTTAAAAAACGCCCCAGCCGTTTGCTTAAAAAATCGTTACATGGCTTTTATCGGGCAATTCTGACACATAACCCTCATGTCGCTACGTTCACCTCATAATCCGCTCCAGAGTTAACGTAGATATCCTTACAAAAAAAAATAAAAAACGGATGTACCAAATATGCAAATATATAAAATTCTATTAAATGGTTATATAATACCTAGCCTACATGTAGAACTAAAAAAAAACAACTAATAAAAGATGAATTTGAAACTTTTTTGAAACAACCAGCCAAAACTGAAACACGGGAGAAATATAATGATTCAATTAATTAGATTAACTTTAAAACTGTCAATTACAATTTGAAATCACATTTTAAATCTTATTGCAATTCCTACTTTTTTTTTCCAGCCCCGAGCGTGGCCAGCAGGTCATAAATATGGACTTCCATGTCGATGTAAACTGTTCCCAGGAGAGAAGGTATTTAACTAAGCCAAAACAAAAGATGTAGCTAGATTAATAAAAAATAATTAAGATAATAGGTTTATAATAAGATAGTTTATTTTTTAAATATTTTTCTTTTTTTTCAGAGGATGAAATACATCCAACCAGAGCGTGCTGTGTCGTTCAAACCATGTAAAGTAAGGACAAGAACTACTTATTGAGTTCTTAAAACATTTCTATCATTTTAAAAACATTTTATATATTTTTAGATTTATAGATCTCCAGAATCAAAAATGCCCGATCACACAACATACAAACAGTCTTTCGAAGCTTTCGAACCGGGTATGTTAAGGAACTGTAAGGGAAAACCGTTGCTAGCCAGAGAAAACCTGACACCTGCTGGAGACTTCTCAGACTTGACAACTCATAAGGTTGTGATTTTTTTTTTAAATTTACATAATATCTGCGATAAATTGAGTAATACAATACCTTGTGATGTATCCATAGCATCAGCAAGTTAATACCATATTTAGGCTCTCTTATTTTTTCTCTAAAATTTACTTTGAATTATTTGTTTTATGAAGTCACTGTTTCTAATATAAAGTGTTATGGTTTATCTAAACATTTTTTATAATTAATACCAATAAGGAAAATAAGAACAAAAATAGAAATACAGTAATAACCGTAGATGCTGATGCAACACTCGGGAAGATGTTTATTTCAAAAGAGGTACCCTAAAGATGATCCGGTCGAAGATGAAAAGGAGGTAAGACGCAGAACGATATGCCAGCCCGATGCTGACTGCGCACCACGTGACAAATGGGATATCCTTGCTGTCGTAGACAGGTAAATGACTTGATGCTATGCTCCTTTACAAGAGAAGGCGAAAATAAATACAAGAAATTAGGCCAAATTGTATCTTATAGGCGAAATCGTATAACGTTTTGAGAAGTAACCTTCATGATCGGAAATTGAGGACGTAATGTCACTTCAATGAAATATAAGAGCCTGTGAAAGCAGTTTTTCATATAGACCTTTCCAACTCTGGGGCTTCCTTAAATTGGACTACTTAATGACCTGTTAATAGATTCAGATACAGGGGTCACAAATATCAACATTGCCTATTCATAATGGAGTGATTGTGTTTATCTTGAGGTAGAAGTCAGAACATCTCACACTACTATAATAGAACGTTGGTGAAGTCCAGGCTCTGCTATGAATCACTGGAGCGTAAATGACAGTATCTCATGTAAAGCTACAGGTCATAACAGAAAGTATTCTATTCGATGTTCTTTTACGAGAAAACTACCTTCTGCACAAAATAAAAATGGAAGTCCTTGAGGACCTATTAGCGAATTTCCGAGTCAGAATCACAATAAACCATTAGAAGAATGAAACCGTTGATGGATATCGAATACAAGCGGGTCTACCCTAAGAAAATATTTGTGCAAGGGCGATTCAAGACAGGAAACTACACAGAAATCACCGGAACTACTGGTTCTCACTGTTCCTCACTAGAAATATCATTGAACCTCTAATTCCAAGTTGTGGGGTACCAGAGACTGCTGAGCATATATTACTTGTCTATTACGCCTTTTAGGAACTGAAGGTCAAGTTTCTGAGGGAGACAGGATTCACAGTCTTGACGAAGATCGATCTCCCTCAACTACTGACCAAGGAGAAACCGCACTACCAAGCCTAAGCATGTAGCTTAAATAAATCAGGGGCGGCCGAGCGGCCTAACGCGTGTGCACAGCACCACACGTTGCCTGGCAACTCGGATAGATGATTATGTGATAACATGATACCGAATTCGCGTCCCGGTGCCAAGAGGGTCTTTTAACTCTGGCATTAACCCCCGCCCATACCCCATGGGCCGAGAAACCCTCGTATAGTCTAAAGGGCGAGGAAGAGGAGGACAAAAAAAAAAAATAGAAGCTTAAATGAGCAGTTGGTACAAGCCGATTTTCCATAGGTAGCATAGATGGAGCTCCATTAGGAAAACTTCCAACAAGAGTACGGTAACCGGACCAAAGAAAAGAAATATTGGACACAGCTCGAGAAAAATATAATTGTTTTGCTTATAACAGAAGCGTTCATAGCATTCCAATAAAGAAAATACCCATTTTGCCTAACAGCTGGGCAGGATTTTAAATTAGTAACTAAAATATTATTTAATAAATTAAAAATATCTAATAGGTATTATATATATATGTTATACCTAATACATGTTTCCGTTTATTCAATGCTATAAAAAGAAACGAAGGACCAGTGATAAATTTTCACGAAAGACGCCCACCTACCTAGCCCAATTTTAGCGATTTCTCAACTATCAAAAGCACCAACACATCCACACTCACCCTCAGGCTATTTTCCTCATTCATGTTATTTTATAAAAACAGAATTATAGTAAGCCATGTAAATCCTGAAAGGAAAACATGAGTACTGCGTCTCATCTTTGACCGACCGCATGCTATAGCGAAACTACAAGCGTCAAAGATGGACGTACTTGAACAATGGCATACCGTTTTAACGAACTCGTTTTCGTCAGTATTATCGTTCTGTGATCTTTCTGTAAAATAGATGTTGAACTATTAAATCGTAAAGTGTGAATGTCGTTCTGAGCTAATAAACAATGCTTCATGTGCTAATAGAAAGAAGTAGTAGGTCCAACCCATTTATTTGCGCGACTACATCCTTGGTTAGAAGATATAAAGCTTCATCAGGAGGCCGCAGAGAAAGGAAAGAGAGTCCAACAGTGGTAGGGTACCCTTCCTGATCTCCTTTGTAACATGTTTAAATATACGTTTAGATTAAAAAGTAGTGAAGATAACAGATGAACCGTTGCAACCTTGTGTCCTTAAAATATTGAAATAATTTAATATCATTTACAGATGAGTTTTGGATCTTGGCCAGGAGTCAACAGACAAAAAATCTATTATCCAAGGGATCACAAATTGTCAGGGGAAGGTCCAATGGCTGAGGTGACCACTCACAAACACGACTACACTCCCAAATGTATCGACGCACCAACGAAGATTATCAGGCCCAACAATCTCGGGTTTTCTTCAGCACCAATGTCTGGTAGGTTTTTGATAATGAATATTGTGTGAGGTTTAAACTCCATTGCAATACTATTTTAATCAATTTTTATTGAAAGAAACCGTGATATTTCCAATATAGTTACAATTTAAGAGGTAAGTTGCGTTCTTCCTCAAACCTTCATAAAACCTAGTTAAATTATAGTATTTAAGTTAATGCGGTGGTGACCTGTTTACGTAACAATATCAAGGAAGCCTGTTTTGGTTTTACTATTTATTTTTGATATCTTAATGTTAGAAATTGATGGATTTAGGATTGTAGGAGTTGTACAGCATTACAGTTAATTTACTTAAGTACTAAAATAAAAAAAAGGTTTTTAATGGTAACTTATTAGCAGTTAATTGCTAGAGGTATAAATGAGTGTTTAATACATTATAAAATATACATAGTGAAAAAAATACTTACTCTCACTTTAAGGTTATCATTTATAATAAAACAACGTTTCAAAGTTCTCTGTTTTCAGGATTGTAATATTGTTTGTGATTTTTTCCATATCTCTAAATCCATAATAATATTTTGTCATAATTAAAATTTTAAAAAAGGTTTGTAAAGTATTATTCTAGGGCAATAAAAAAATGTGACGAGAAAATTAAACTCATAAATGATATTTCTCTTTTCATTTTTTTTTATTACTTGAAACCTATTAATTCAAAAGTAAACTAGATTATTTCTCTAGTTTGGAGTCGTCTTTACTGGCATACTGTCAGCCATATGTGCAGTAAAACATAGGATTCTTATTTCTTAGAATTAGAGAAAAAATAATTAAGTTGCTCAATATAAAAAAGTAATAAAATAAAAATTTAATTAACAATGGCGGAAACCTATAAAAATAATTGACTTGTTCTTTATAAATAAAAAGAGAAAAAATTAACTTATTACTAATAAGGGAAGATTACTGACTTGGGGTCACTGATTACAATCAACTTTCTTGAATGATACTAGGTCGATGGCCCATGTTTGAGGCCGAAATATTGGGGTGATAATTATCCTTTTTCGATTACAATGCAAATTCTGAATTAAAGGTTTTTCGGGGTGCGAAAAACGAATATCATATCTGCTTATACTGAAAAAGAAATAATGAGATCAGGATGTATCTATATCGAGAATAATATATACTAGATTTATGCTTATTTTCGGACCGAATCAGGAAAACATGGCTGCTTCTTGGCATATAATTTAATTTTGACAACTGTTCGATATTTAAAAAAAAAAATGTTTGGTATGTAATAAGTGCAACATTGAAACAATTTATACCAACCGAAGAAGCAAAGTGGCTTCAAATATTTTTTTGAGTTGATATTCGTATTTTGCACCTCGAAAAACTTTTAAATATGATTATTGATAATAATCGAAAAATAAAAATGTTTGACGATATTTTTTCATGTATTCCTCGTAAAGGCATAAATTTCTGATATAGTTATTGATATGGTTTGTAATAACAAAATTAAGCTTTCTAACGGCTGTAGTAACGTTTAATCAAGAGAATTGCCAAGGAATTATGAATATATAGGTAAATAGCATGAAAAAGAAAAGGCTCCAAAAAAAAAAATTATAAAATATAAAAATAAAAATCTGTTTTTTTATTTTATAACTAATTCGTATTAAGGAGATTTAAAGGACACTAGAAACGAATCTGAATTGCTTTTTCATGTCAAAAATTCACTTGAGCTACTTTACTGAGAGCATCTCTTTGTTTTAGTTATTTATTATAAGATTTTAATTCTTTTAATACATTCAGCTATAATATTTCTCGTTCTTGTACAAAAAAAGAAAAAAAAAAAGCTACATTGAAATAGGATTCCACATGCTCATAAAGTCTCCTTATAAGATACAAGGAAATATTTAAATAAACATTTTCCAGGTATTGTTATATACAGAAAATAATCTCATTTTTATGTGATAGCTATCATTTGATATTTTATTTTTCAGATGATTCTGTCATGTCCATGTCTTATAAATGCCCAGATTATAGAAGATTTGAACCTTCGACATCATTTAAACCTGAAAGAAGGTACGTGCATAAGAATGATTGACAGAACGTAATTACATATTTTAATTCAATTAATTTCATGAAATACAGTAGTTAATTACACTGCTGTTGATTGTACTACCAACTTTCAGCCAACTCCAATTTTGTTTTTATTATTATTAACAGTTCCGATACTTATTTGTTTGATTGATGATGAATAATATGATTATGTGAGCAATGTGATCTAACTATTTATAAAACAAAACACAAATGTTAGAACTGCGGTTGGCTGGTTTTGGAATTCAAAGTTGTTTAATGTTAGCGAGGTATATCAGCCAAAGGAGCAGACTTCGAGGAGGAGGGGGGGCGAGGGGGCTGTTCGCCCTTCCCCCAATAAAAATAAACAGGGCGAGAATATCGTTTCCTTCCTCACCAATATTTCGAAGAACAAAAATTAAAAAATAAAAGTCAATAACAAATAATCTACACAAATGAATAAAGTATGTCAACTAAAATCTATTAAGAAAATAGGATAAGTCAACTAAATGGCTAAGCAAAGGCTTAGAAGTATGTACGCAAGTATTTTATCACGCCCTATATTCCTATTATTGAAATTTTAGTTTATATCCAAAGTAATTATATTGTATAATTTATATTGTACATATAATATTGTATTATAGTTTTTGTTTTACAGTAATTACAATGATTATAGTGAGTATCATTCATAATTTTTATACATAATGTAAACTCCCAATGTAGGCTTTTATTGCAGTGTATGTTTGTTCTATTCCGCCATGCCCACTATGTGTCTTTCCACTAATGCGGTGTGACAGTATGACTTTCTTTCACGGTGACAGTTACCGCGACATTTGCAGCCACTGCTACGGTGTACACTTTATAAAAATATGACATTCCCTATCTTGGAATTACTATCGTATTATTAGGTTTAAATTTTATTAGGATGAATATCACACTTGACGTTGCATTCTACTTATATTTTATTCAAATATATTAATAGTGTCAATATACTGCTACTGTGTATTCACATTTATTATTATTTTTAGATTCTTACCTCCTAAGAGCCCAGTGGAAAGCGATACAGTTCATAAACTATCGTTTATGCCGTTTGAGCCTCAGCCAAAGCAAGAGGTACCTTGGGCCAAACAAAAACCCTATATGAGATCTGGAGAGCCATTGGATGGTCATACAGTATACAACGGAAGGTTTTAGATATTATATATATTAGATATTACATATATTAGATATTATATACATTAGATATTACTCCTTAGAATCGATCTCTTTTATTCGGAGGTCTAGTTGTTTCATGCCTACTCCTTCTTTATTTAATTTTTTGTAAGTAAGTTTTGTTTATTTATTTTTTGGTGTCACTATAAACTTTTACATATTATTGGTTTATCTTTTTTTCTTGATGTATTCCTTCATTTCTGTATACCTAGTCCTGTCATATATATTGTTACTAGGAAATATATACATATTGCAACTGAAAAAGTAAGTTTTTCAAAAATTTGATTAGAAAATAAAATCTATTAATAAATAGATAGTAAAATAAAAAATAAATTACTCAAAATGTCCCCCTTTTGCTTTAACACAGAAATTTAATCTCCGTGGCCAGTCATCAATAGCAGAACAAAGTACATCCTGAGGAAAGCGTTCAACTGCTCGAACCAGAGATTGTTAGAGGCTTTCCAAGTTAAGGTGTGCTCTGTGGCATGCCATCCTCTCCAGTTCGGACCAACGACGATAATCTAGGGGGTTGAGATCAGCGCTTCCTGAGGGCCAATCTCAGGCAGAGATAAATTCTGGAATGTTCTTTTGCAGCCATTGCTGAGTTGACCTGGCCTTGTAAGCTGAAGCGGAATCCTGCCGGAAAACCCAATGACTTCCAGCAAACAGAGTATCATTTAGGGGCTTGCGAACAGGTTCCTAAATATCGTCCTGGTAGTTTTTAGCGGCTGTTTGAATTCCCACAAAAATGGAGCTTTGTGGTGCCATCGAAGCAAAATCTCCACCAAACCCGGAAGGGTGATGACCTCTTTCCACTCTTCCAATGACTTCCTGAGCTTTTTTAGAGCTATGTGCGTACATACTACCATTTTAGCGATTCAATTTTTCTTCATTTGTAAACATTGGTCATCTCTAAACAAAATCTTTCGATGAAGACCATTGGTGTTACGGCCAAGGAGCAAATTGCATCTATCCACTCTAATTTTTTTAGGGAAATGGTTAGCCTTTGTCCTGTCATTCTTCGAAGTTCACCCATCCTAAGGTTACTTATTATCTCTTATAGAGATTCTCATTTCACAAAACATGATTTATTGATTTCGAATGGTATTTCTTCTGATTCGAAAAGCCACTTCTCTCACTGTATTTGGCGTTCTCACAGTGAGGGGACTGCCCGGTCTAGGTCTGTCATACAGATAGGATCTCATTATATCTATTTATAGTGCAGTACACAAACATACGGCTGATACCCAAAGGTTTCAAAGTGTTGAAAATCTCTAACCTACATTTTCCAACTTTCTATAAGGCGATCACAGCTATTCGATTTTCTTTATCACCCCACTCCATGTTAACTGAGATAAAGAAAAATACAAACTAATTGGGATTATGATCCTGATGTGTAAAGAAAATACCCAGATGGAGGTATGGATTATCTAAATAATACCCAAGGATGTAAAAAAAGTTTAACTTTTGTAACAGTATTAATGGCAGAACTAGATATATCTTATAAACTAGATATATATTCACTTTCACTTTCTATTAACTTTCGTTCAATATTCCATAATTTTTCTACATAATATATCTCTCGTAACTATTTAGGCTTCTAGCATTCTTCTAGTTCTAACTTCGTCCGATAACCGTTACAGATGACGCCACATCCCTTCTCTCTCCACCTTCTTTGTAACGACTTCGTTCTCACTTTGACATTTTAGGAGAAAGGTACTACTTCTTTTATTTCTTTCTTATTTCAGCTTTCTCAATTTCTTCCCTCCTTCCTTTCATTCCTTTTCTCTGTTGTTAACTCTCTATTATATTATACATTGTCTGTACATCGTGATAGACTTTACAATATCTCAATTTTCTATCAAAATACTCCATTCTCAATGTTTTCATTTTACTATTTATTTTATTCTCATTTCTTATATAACTTTATATTTCTTTTTTATGTTTTTACATTTTATTCTAAGATTCCCAATGTAACACTTTTGTCACCCCCTTTTTGATTATGCCTACTTCATCATTCCACACCATGTAACAGTCTGTATTATTTATCTCTTAGTTCTTAGTCATTATTCTAACAATTTTATTTTACTTTATATCTATCTATTTTATTTTTCTTTTATCTAGATCTATTTTATCTAGATCTAATCTATTTTATTTTCTCATTTTTTTTTTTGTTATTATCTTTTTTACCATCATCACTTAAGTTTCTCATACCTTGTTATCTGGTTATTTTCTTAGCCCTGATGATGGCCTGAACTTCAGGTCGAAACGTCGGCAGATGTAAAAAATAAATATTATAATTTATTTTTGCCTTCCTTTTTTGACTGAGCACCCCAACTATTCTTCTCTTCATTAGATACATCTTATATTTTTGATGCAAAACTTACTTTTTAGCCCTGACGATGACTTACATGCCTATTTAAAAAAGTCGGAAATTAGAATTTAAAAAAGTGTGAATATGCATCTTCTCAGAAAATTTAAATATATATACATATAGCCAACAAAATCTATCACTATTTGTTACCACCCATTGTAGCTCAGCGGAGTCGTACATTTCATTGGCATGCCACGTTCCACCACCGCCGAGTACAACTCTTCTCTCTTAATACTGCTATACGCAATTTTAAATTCAAAGAACGAATAGTGAATGGTGAGTAAATCTATTCCGACGCCCTAATTTGAAGATCTGGCGAAGGCTGAACCCTTGATTAGTAGTAGGCCTTTCGGGTTGGAATCCACATTGATATTGAAAGAGGGTTTGCTCGGAGTTGAAAAACATTTTATTATATAAAATATGAAGAGAGAATCAAACATGCCATAGAGAGAAAGAAGTAACCTCTATAATAGCTCCCGCCAGTTTCTGAGTTTAAAGTGATTTCGATGGTCATTCGTTTTTTTAAACAACTTCCGGCTTTGATTGGCATCTTTTATGAGTTTAACCTTTTTACTTTTACTTAAAACCGAAGACAGGATTTCAGTAACAAACCATCCTATTTTATTCCTTTTAGTATGGAACCAAACGTGTTATAAACTCCTAAAAGACTTAGGTAAATTCCCCATAAAGAACATATACTCGAAGCAGCATATCTTGCCAGTTTTACATTGTATCACTTGAAATGTTTTGGAATGGCATCTATAAATTATGAGGGAATGGAATAACGATTTACTAGTTAGTAAATGAGTCATAAGACGGTAATAAAGTAGTAAATGTTGCGCCTGTAGGTTTCTCATCCATATCTTTGCTCCTGGATCCAGATTCAAGTCTAGTTGTACTTGAAAATATATTTTCTGTTCTGCTTTAGATCGATTCTGGGACAGGTGGACTTTTTTCATTGCACATCCACCCTCTATAGATTATATAACTAATAAAGTAGATAGATTAAAGATTTTTAGTACCTATCAACTCATATAAAAAATCTTAAAAAAATATTTTTAAAAGACGATAAAAAACAAGCCGAAAAATTTCTTCAGACTCAGAGCTATTATGAAAACTTGTACGATGAAAGAATAATTTCATACAAGCCTAGGGTTTTGATTTTAATTTAGTATATTCAATAACATCCATTCATTATTCTCATAACATTATATTTTTATTTTTTTAAGCTATATCGCCCCTGGAAGAATGATGGAAGATCCATACGGACATTGTACTGGTAAATAAGCAGGATTTAACTTAGTCAGTTCATTTTATTTCTGCATTTAAAGAGGAATGGGTCAATTATTTCTGATTTTCAGGTTGCTATTGCGTATACCCGGCCGAATGTTATGAAAAATCTGGAGAACGGCCTGATGTTCTCACCTGCCCGGCTGGATATGATCCCAACAAGGACCCGCCAAGGCCCCCACCGTAAGCACTTAATAATATATTTTAACATAATTATATAATTGGGAATTAGGTCACTTAATAATTATTTACTAAACTTCAAAATGTTCGATCCTGCTGTTTATTCGATGTTTCGATCTCTTTTTTTTTTTTTGGTTAACAATGGGATCCTCTTAAATGTTTGAAAATAGAGGCTCGATACCTCCGGCCTGAGACGCATTGACAGCCTCAGCACCGCCCACTAGCACAGATATTGAGCTACTGTATTTATATTAACATTATATATTATATAATTATATATATAAAATATATAATACATTATATATTAAACAGTAGCTTAATATCTGTGCTAGTGGACGGTGCTGAGGCTGTCGATTGTGTTGTGTCCATTGGTAACTATAAAAAAAATAAATAAAAAAAAAACGTCAGGATCAATAAACATTTTGTAGATTATTGAATAATTATTAAGCTACTTAATTTCCAATTAAATAATTATGTTAAAATATAATAATAAAAGGTCAATTGAAGGAATTTTGTAAAAATACTTAATATTATATGTCTTCAATTAATTTGTAACTATATTTAAAGTATAAATACTGATTTGTCACATTTCAAAGATTTCCATAGACATATACATTTTTTTAAACCGCATTATTTAAGCTCCATCTTCTAAATTAACTCCACTTTAATTTGAAAGGAAATAATCAGCTACTCCTTAATCAAACATTCTTTCCTTCATATTAGAAAACAACAATAGTATTTCCACATGCCAGACTGATGTATATATTTCTTGAACTCTGCTAATTTTCCTAGGGGACTTAAGACCCAGAACAAAAATTATTTTTCACTTCACTGCACCATCTTAATTATTATGCAAAAATTATATTTGATAAAATTTACTATCTAAATCTCTTATCTTCCATTAGTTTGCTCATGATGAAGAAGCATTTAAGAATTGCTATCATGATCAAATTATTTTCTTACACTAGGCATGTATAGAAGTATTTAGTATCATTCATGGTTTGTAGTGATACTGATGATTTCCTTCTCTTTCTTAGAATTTTTATAAAAATTAAATCAGATTTTTAATTTTGCTTAGTTGGATTATTAATTACATCATATATATATATATATATATATATATATATATATATCGCTATTGTTAGTGTAACAAATCGTCGTATGTAAAAACTGAGTTTTTTTAAAAGAAAGCATAAAAACCGATTATTTCTTTATGATTTATTAGTATCACTTCATATTTTATTTTCCTCTGCTATTTTCCTATTTAGCAGACTACTCATAGCACTAATATACCATATACACGACCATTTGCACTGACAGTAAGGATATTAACACAGTTTTAATAGAATACAATTTTGGGGGAAATAATGAAGTGGGTTGATTACCAGTATCATAAGAAGTGCAACAATAACAAAATTCCTTAATTAGTGAGAAATTCTAACACAATTTCTACCGTTCATTCCCACATTCTCTCAATAAATGTTAATAAAAGTTTTTCCATTTATTTAATTAATATTTTTTGTTTTCAATTCACAATTGCGATAATAATGACGTTCGAAATTCAAACTCGATTAGGTTAATTAGTAAATAATAATTTTTTTGTTGCAGAGTTACTGAGGAAAGACCAGCGGAATGAAAAGAATCGTAGAACAAGGAAATCAAGTTATGGTGTGACGTCAATCAAAGGGAAATGACTATATATTATATTCATTTAATAAATGAATTATCTATATGTGTCGCAAATTAATATCAGCTGATTAATTTACATATAATGATCTTGGTCTAAGTTCTATTTTTCTACAAAATGTTATATTTGGATTTTAAAATTTTCATGAAACGGGAAATGGAGTGGGATAGCTCAGTGGTAGGGTACTGAGCTTCCAATGCTGCTAAAGGTCTCAGGTTCGAATCCCGGCTCATGGCAAACAAATTATTTATTATGTTTCATTGGCCGTGGGGCGACCCTGTGGAGGTAGGCCCTTCTGGGGCACACCCAGCCTCTATAAAGTGGGTAACCTTAATTAAAATAATTGATTAAGGGTAAAAAATCTGGCGGTTGAACGTGGTCGTGATCTCGGTCGAATCACCTCCTTGCACAACTGTAGACCCAGAAACAGTACTTCCTCTAAATAGTAGTACTGAACACCCAAGACCCTTCTCAGGTTGTAGTCATACAGGGTTTTTTTTTTTTTTTTTCATGGAGTATTAAAAAAACATAACTTAATGATAACCGATTAGTCTGGACGAGGAGAAAATATTTTGTCAATAACGTGGCTTCTAGCAATCGCCACCACTGTGCAGCGGTATCGATTATTCTTATAATATAATTATACAATATAATATAATTATTTATTACCGTTATGGTTTATTAAACTTTTGAGTTATTTTTAGTTAACGACTATGATATAAATTGGGAGAGGGGAAGAGAAGGGACAAAAAATGCCTATACGACCTAAAGGGGTCCCGCCATTTTTCGATAATTTGGTAATCGAAATTACAATGCTTATTAAAAAAGTAAGTAAATTAAAAAAATATTGAAGAGAAAAATAGTTGGAGTGATCAGTCAAATAAGAAGGCAAAAATAAATGATAATATTTATTTTGACATTTCGACCTGAAGTTCAGGCCTTCATCAGGGCTGACTCCAAAGGTGTAAATCGGAGCAAAATATTGAATTAGAAAAATATTGAATGGATTAAAATTTAATTATAAAGTAATAGATAATGACTTTCAAATGTGTATCATTTTCTCCTCCTGAGTTAATTTGTTTTTTGCGGAAAGTGGAGGAAGACTTACGACGCTGGGACAATTTCTAAGGCTGTCATTTAAATGAGGCAATAACGGATAACATTTTTTAGTGGCTGTAAAAGTATTGAGATTTAAAAGTCTAACAATATAAGCCAATTTAGTATACCAGTCAGTGAATATGGCCAGTTATTGTGATCCTTTTTATACCATATTCTACACTAATATATTAAAGCCCAGTTTCACCGAACGTTGTTAACTTTAATTTTACTAATTTTTGATCAAATCTTTAAACGATGTTAAATTGTAACCTTACATACGGTTAGTTTAAACAACAAACAAATATTTGCTTTTTATGGGAATACTAGTGCACTGTATCTCTTTTGTATGTTTTTCAAGACGATTACAAATATGATTTCTTCTGGAGAAAGTTTATCATCAGATGAAGACTTATTAAATGTTATCAATCTGTTTTTAATTTTCTGAAAAATAGCCCCCTCTTTCTAGTTTTTCCATCGTCTGAACAATAATTAACAAGCGTTAATCAATCAAATAATCTAACACCTCGTTAAATGCAAAGTTTACACGCAAGTGGATGGACGGTTATTTAATATAACCCAAGTTCCTTTACAATCACTGGTTCTTGTTAAACGGCATAAATAAGAGGATGTCTCACGTTAACAATTTGTCGACTAACTCGGTTTAAAAATTATGTGGAGCAACTGGATCCAAATTTTAACGTTGGTTTTAACGCGATTTATTTATCAGAGAATATTAACTTTAATCACGGCTGTTGGTGCAACCGGACCTAAGTTGAAGAGTTCCGACGCTCTGATTTGAGGAAAATGATCAATTCCTATATATAGACTTGAAAATAACTATTTTGCCTCTCCACTTATTCATTAATGTTAAGTTTATTCTACCTATATGTTATTAGACTATACCTTTCACCTACATTTCAATATTTTCTTTTTACTGTAAATAGTTTCTCATAGCTGTTCTTATCTTGTCTTCTCTTAGCCCTGATGAAGACCTAAACTTTTGGTTTAAACATAGACATAAATAAAAATCTGGTGCGCGCAACATACAACTTTAACTTACCTCTGTACTTTGAATAGAAATTATTTTCTGATAATATTGGGCTATTATAAAATAAATGAAGTATATTTTTGAACGAGTTAAAGCTTAAAGCTAACAGCTAACAAATCATTAATACCATTAAAATAACAAAAACCGTATTTATTAAATCAACGATTGATTATGGGTAGTACGATCCATTGATTATGGATCATACGACCATTAGTTATTAAACTATTATTTTCCATTGCAAAGTTTACTTTAATGGTATTACGATATTTGCCTGTCATAGATAGGTCAAAAGTTTTCACACTAATTGTAAGTAGATACTGTTGGGGTATCACAAAGAGAAAATTCATCAAATTATTCACTAATATAATTTTCTAAATGGCTACATGATGATTTTTTGGAATAAACGGATGATAGATACCTAATTATTTCAATGCAATATTAGATATAAAGTTATTAAACTACAATAAATATATTTAAAGTTATAAGCGTATCCATGAAATATTTTTATATATCACTTCTTCTTTCACACAAGTACAATGAAATAGTATTTTAAACAATGTCATTCCGTGGATTTTAAATACGTTTTGTAAAACTTTAACAATTTTAAAAGTTTTCATTTAGTAAGAAAGTTTCATTTAATTTCCTTGAAAATATGTGATACTTTAAATAATATTAGTTTTCAGAAACTATTATTTATATTTTGTTCACCAATCTCCGTTACCTTCTACAACTTTATTTATTGTATATTATTTTTTCTAAAATCCTCTTCTTTCCAACGACATATTATACCTATACCTTCTGAATATTATTTCTGAAGATTCATTTTCGACCTGGATAAGCATTTTTCTTTTCTTCTCCTTTATTCAATAATAAAATTCTTTCAAAGGTTATATTTAGCCTTATTTCTATAACTCCTAACAATGAAAGACAGTTAATTACTTAAAATAAACCTAATTAAAGGTACTTTAGAAGAAGACATGTTTAACACTCTAGCGGATCAAGCCGGGGGGTTCCTCTCCTCCCTCCCTCCCTGGACGCTGAAAAAAAAATCCGAAAAAAAGTCAAAAACCACCTATTTAAAGAAAAGGGAAATATAGGATAAATTCATCTTCATACTGCAATATAAAAAAAATTACTATCGTGACCAGCACTAGCGGATCCAGCTGGGGGGGGGGCGCTCCTCTTTCCCCTGAATGGTGAGGGAAAAGTTCCAAAAAGCAGCTATTTAAAAAAAAGAGAAATGTAGCAAAAATTAATCCTCATAGACGAACTTTATAATGTAATATATATTTGTTTTCTTTCGAAACTTATTTATTCAGAATTATTTCAATCTGTCACAATTAAGGACATTTATAATAGTGCCTCAACACTATTTTGATCTCTACACCGAAAGGTAGAATAGAATATTGAATAAGAAGAAGATGAAGATAATGGTGTTCAGAGAGCACATTCACATTTTATTTATATTACAATAAATGATACAGAAAAATGATAATACTAAAAGTAAATCTATTTAAACAAAAGAACTAAACTAATCAAAATAACAACTACAACACGAGCATACTTTTATACAATATTTATATAATCCATTCACTCAGGAGAACTCCGAGTCAAGCCTTTCAACCCCCTCGGGAAGGAAAGGCAGGAGATCCCAGTACCTCTTACTCAGTCGCATTTCTGGTATTAAGGACCAGTAGAGGCTGAGCAGAGGCGCAATAATCACACATACATGACTTGTGTGGAGAATCTGGCCATTACCAAAACACCAATATATGCTTATTCACAAAAGGTCTCTGGACCAGTGCCACTTCAAACTTCGAGGAGAATTTTAGGGATGGATGGAGCTAAAAAGGGATTGTGCAAGAAGATTTGGATGATTTGTAAGGTTCCGATGAAGTTTTGAGAATTTTTCTGGGATAAAGTCTAGGACAAATTGGATATTAAGGGCATGGTGTAGGGCTTTGTTGGTTACATAGATCAAGGCATCAACTATTGTTCGAAGGACTTTAGATGAAAGGATTGGATGCGTTTGATGTTGAAAATTTTGCTGTCTCCCACAGTTCAAGTCCGTATTTCCAGGCTCCAGGATTGTCTAGTAGATAAATAATTTCTTTCAATAGAACGTTTAGACTTTCTGTTCAATAGTTGGTAGTATCGTCGGTTGAGTTCTAGTATCTAGTCGATTAAGTAGTATTAAGTAATATCTAGTTAAGCTTGGAGAGCAGCTCGGGGTTCCATACCCGGTCAAAAGCCTGTGCTATGTTTAGAAATGCACCCTAACGTTATAGCTGGTTTTCAAGAGCAGCTAAAATATGATCAACGACTCGGAGTCTTTGATTAAAATGAGTGTTGTGAGCGAAAACCGAACTGATGGGAAGGAAGATTTTTGGATTCTATGAAGGGTAGGATTCGTTTCAAAAGCATCTTTTCAAAGATTTTTGGAAGGATTGGGAGCAGGCTAATTGATCTATAGGATGTCAAGCTGTTGGGAGGTCTGCCTGGTTTCGGGAAAAGGATAATAGTGGAGTGTTCCATAATAGAGGAAAGAGGGTAGTACGTAGAATGCAATTGTAGATATGTGTAAGGAATATGACTGCTTTGAATGGAAATTGTCGAAGTATCTGAGGAGTAAGCAGATCATATCCAGAAAATTTACGGGGGATTAGTATGATAGGATGAATTGCTTTAGGGGACAAGGAAAGTGGGATAGGTGATGTCTGCGATTTCGGATGTGAAATAAATGTATTAGATAGGGGTCTAGCGAACTCCTGGGCTTTATCTTGATCAGAAGCTGCCCAGGATCCGTCATCTCCATGGAGGGGATGGGAAATTTGGTGTGGGTTTAGGATTTTTGTTGTGGTTTTCCAAAGGGAATTGTCACGAGCAGAGAGGGAGGATAGGTAGGAGTTAAAGGATTGTGATCTGAAGGTGGCTAATTCCAGTTTTAATTTTGTACAGTAATATTTATAGGAGCTGCGGTAGGTGAAATGTCTAGTAACGTTGCCATAATAATCTAGTACGGCGTTTGATGTGGATTAGGTCAAGGATGTGTTGAACAAAAGTTGGCTCTGAGGGTGAAATTATGTAGGTTTTGGGTCACCGTGAGATGCGAAGGCTTGTGCTAATGTCGCAGTTTGTTCCTAATGACTTCGAAATGAATCTCGCAATTGAAATACATGAAGGAGGGAAATTAATTTTAAAATAAAATGAACTTCATTTATTCTTTCGAACGACCTTTTATTTGAGCACAAGAAAATACGTTTTTTCTCCCGGATCCAGTTTTTATTCAGTTCCAATAGATCTGGACGCATTGCAGCCTACAGCAACTATAGTCTCCTTGACAGCAACTATAATCTCCATTGCGATTCATAAAACAGGATTATAATTGGTATATTTCTCATTAGAAAGTGTTGTTAATTTCTTAAAATATCAGCTGTTGGAAACGTTCTAGTGAAGGAAGGTACTAATTATTTGGTCTCCGATTTGATCGAAATCGGAAATTATTTTGAATTTTCTTTCTTAGAGAACTCATTTCCAAGCTGCATGACCACTTATAGTAATCTGTCTGAGATTTTGACAATGTAGGTAAAAATTAGCGTTCATTGACCGTGGTTATCAACCATATTACTTAATCAAATTATTAAGTTTAGGTGCTCGTTCGACGCACAATTTGACGTTATTTAATTTCTGAAAGCATTCGTTTTTCGCCTAGATATATTGTTTAGATAAATCTGGATTTTTTTGGCTGTAAATAGTTTTCTCTTGTTACCCGTGTATATATAACACTTAACCATGTTAGCAATATTTTGCTTACATGTCTAAACCCATATATAGGGTGTCCCGTAAGTAAGGGAAATATTTAAAGCAGTGATAGCAGAACTCAAGAAACACAAAAACGTTTGTATAAACAATGGTTCATTTCAGCAGACAAGTAAGAAATTATTTTTGTGACATTTGTGAATTTAGTTTTGTGAGTTTGCAACGAGCTTGCCCAAGAATTTTGCCAAACTGAGTTTGCCTGTAGTGTAGTACCACACAAAGCAAAGGTTGTGTGTGACAAAATTGAAGCTCATTACAGAACGGCAGTGTTATCCACATTTATTTCCTAACCTTTTGCCATGCCTGGACCATATAGAAGGAAGAAAACACATTATGGTGATACCCATCTTCAAAGACGATGGAGAACTAGAAATAGAAAAAGAGACTTAGACCAAGTAAGTTCAATCAAGTAAATTTATTATTTAGATGGAAATGGTTCAGCTGATGTTCTTGTTCAGATTTATATAACCAGTCACGTTTCAAATTGCAATCTTGTGTACATATTTGAATTTTAGGTTTCTTTTTCCTATCTCAAATATTTCATAAACGTTTTAATCGCTTAAATTTTAATCATAAACGCTTTATCTGTTTCCTACCCACATTATCTCTGAAGGATTTATTTTATATTAACTATAATATAGATTAATTGGCAGGAAACCTCTGTAGCTTCCTTTCTACCTGATATATTAAGTTTTTTCTCCTTCTTTAGCCTAATTTATTAATTTATTTTTGTATCTTTTTGATTTCATTGATGTATAAGGTCCATTTTCCTCTGTGATTAATATTTCAATTTTGTTAAAAGATTGTAATATCGAATCTATTCATTACATTATATTATATTTTGTGGGCACATAATGTGATAAATATATATGTAACAAAATGTTAATGTCGCTAAAACATTTTTTGATTAAGTTAATTTAAATGTTGAATATTTTTTTTCTAAAATAAAATTGTGACTGAGCTTGTTTAGATGTATCTATTTACAGTGATGAGTAATAGAGTAAATAGTAGAACTATTGCAAACAATGTTTTCTTTGGCACTATTTCTCAAATATCACTTCCGTATGACATGGACCAAGACCCATTCGATCATACTCCAACATGGAGTGTCAAAAATAACCAAGTGTGTCTGATAATATCTCCTTGTCACAGGTTGATCTACGGGGAAAGAGGGCTTTGGGGCTGAAGCCCCCCAAAATGATAAAATATTACCATGTATGTTTTATGGAAAAAAATATCTTAGAAGTATTATTGTTCGTGTAATTACATTTAAAAAAACTTTAGGAATCACTTAAACACTATTTCATATAAGTAGTTACTTTTTTTCCAAAATAATTATCGATATTTTTATGAAAAAAAGAAGCTTTCGGGCTGAATCTTCCCCAAAATTAAATCCTGGATCTGCTAGGGGTCCTTGTAATTACACCAATGTGGACATTAGGTTATGTTATATTTAATTGTTTGATTTTAAGGAATAATAAAATCTAGTGGAGAGTTAATTCTTAACGGAATACTACTTAAATCCTATGTTTAAACTATAATATCGAAATTTCCACTTTTTCACAATTGATAATCAATAGGTTATTATTTATAACATAGTTACTAATAATTTATGGATTTATAAATTTTGTCTGTTGTTTTCCTTTTAATCGTGATCATTATATTAATAGATTTCATGTATCTTTTTATTTATTTTGTTACATTATTAATTTAGTACTTAGTTTTTGAAGTTTCTATTTATTTTCCCAATTTCATCATTTTTATTATTAGATTCCTTACTTGTCATTATTTTTATTTATAGTTATTATAGATGGTAATCTGAAGGAAGTTAGTCGACTGTTCTACATATCATGGGTGATAAATATTCAGAAACTTAGATTGTTAATAAAAATAAATAATAAAATTAATAAATAATAAGTAAATAATCAAGCCAAACTGTTGAAAAATAACTAAATGTTTATATTAACTTAATAAAACGTCGCGATGTGTTTACTGAAATTAGGCCGTTTATACAAGCTAATTGTTAAAACTTACATATATTTATTATGACATCTTCTCATACGAGGGACTTAAAGGGAATACATTCAGCTTATTCATAGTAGAAAAGTATGTTTAAATATTTTTAATAACTGGGGGTTCGTTTTGTATGGCTATCATACCATGAGAATAAGAATAAGTGATATTACAATCAGTTGTATGGGGTGAAAGGATAATAGTGTGTTTCTTAAATTAATTTTTTTTAACTAATAGCTCTTTGGGAGGTCTTCCTCGAGTTTAAATATAGTACACCCATTGATATATTTGCGTTAATTCATATGTGTTTTAGTTATTAATCTAATCAATAAATCTTGTCTCAGCTTCAATCAAGTAGAACTATAGTTATTAAACAGATATCAGCTTTTATTAGTTCAATTGTCCGTAGTAAGCGGTTAACAGAAACCAAACATAGTCATGACATAGAAATAAAACAGTACTTTAATAAAAACAAAACAGTAACTAAATAAAACAGTACTTGTTCTCAAATGCCAGTATGGAAGAAAGCTTGGAACAAGGTGATACCATAGAAAGTTTTTGAAAGAATCTGAGTGTGTTTTGAGGTAGATGGAGCCGACACCTCCAAATATGTTTCATTTTCAAGCAATGAAAATACCATTCAATAAAACGTTTTTTGTTAGTTGACATTATTAGTGGTTGTTAAAATTATTATTGTTTTAATCAGACAACTGGGGGATAAACAAGAGGTAAACCAGCTCCTAACTGATCCTTTCCAGTTGAGAATGTGCCCTTGTCACTGTGGATGGATCCTTTTCAGTTGATCATGAAATACTTTACCATTAGCCATCTCAATGTTAGAGGATTCCTGTTTAATTAGGATCAGATTTCAACTGAAAAGGACCCATTAAGGGATTGTTAATTGCCTTAGTGAGTGTCGCGAATGAAATAATTTCCACCTACTGGAATAATTTTAACCATTAATTATTTTAATTAACTTTTCCTTAAAATCCAATCTAACTTACAATTTGAAGGATATACTTGCCATTGTATGTAATCATGATTTTCATTACTCTGTTACCTTTGAGATTTCACCTACAATATGAATGATATGACCTTATATCTAGCCGTCATATTGCAGTAATATATCAGATATACGAAATGTTAATTCAAATGAATGGTAACGAGTATAAAAAGGCAAGTCACTTTTCTTTTTTTTTTTTAAATTTTGGTATCAATATTAACAATTCGAAGGAGTCGTAATAAGAAAAAATTAATTCACTAACAATTTCTAATGTTTATTTTAACATTACAATTTTTTGGAACAATGCCACTTATTATTATGAATTATTTATACCAGTAACTCGATTTAAAAAAAAGTGATTTGTCTGGTTTTCCCCTTACCTTTCAAACAATATTTTTTCTAAAAATAAAGCTATAATTTTAAACAAAAATTTACCTTCCAATAAAAATAAACAAGATAAGCTTTATGTTTATTATTTTTCATGATACAATTGGTGTTCGGTTCTTAAACAAAATTAACTTGTTTTGATACTTGCATCTGGCACTGATTGATTATTGAATTGTCCTGCTTCATATTTGATAACGAAACTATTTTATAGATTGATGGTGATCTAAAGGAAGAAAATGCAGAAAAGTTGCTAAATCAAGAGGTTGATGTTGACAAACCAGGTGATGCTCAGTTCTATTGCCTACATTGTGCGTAAGTATCTGCTGTTTATTGTGCAATGGAGAGTTAAGTTAAGTTCGTTTAGCTAAATGTTCATTTTTATTTATTTTTTTATTTTTTTTTTTTAGACGATACTTTATTGATGATAATGCTATGAATGCACATTTCAAAACTAAAGTTCACAAGAGACGACTGAAAGCCCTTGAGTTAGAACCATATTCAATAGAGGATTCGGAACGAGCAGCCGGACACGGGAGCTACATTCCTCCTAAAAAGAGAAAACTTCAAACCCAAACACCCATTACTGAGAAAGATGTTATTAAAGAGATGGAACTTTCTATGAATTAAAATGTATAAAAAATTGAAAATTGTTTTGCCTAACTATTTTAACCAACATTCCAGATTTTTCAAGCATGCTGCTTGTAAATATTCAAAAGTATCAACTCATGATGTTAAAAATAATATCTATTCCATTTTAAATCCTTATATTGATTTTGAAGACCGTCTAAATGGCATTGCACTGCATCAAAGTATAAAGGAAAGAAATTTAAATATTGATCTAGAGAATGTTGTGAGTTTGTGGAATCAATACAAAGAAATTGAAGAAACCAAGTTAAAACTTGAAAGGTCCCGGGAAGAAATAGCTGAAAGAATTAAAACATTTGCTGATCCCTTGAAACACAAGTCAGACATCGAAGGACTAAAAATCAAAGGAAAAATAATAAGGAAAGATCTTAAAAACACTTCCCTTGTTTTTTCAGACTTAGAACAAAGATTATTACCACAAATATTAAGGTTACCAAATGATTTAGAAGATGGTCTGTATTCAAAGGACAGCAAAATTTATTTAACACCAAATCCAAAGAATGACTATCATTTAGATATTGCAAATAAACTGGATTTAATTACTTATGTTTCTCCTTTCGCATATTTTTTGAAAAATGAGGCAGCAGAATTCGAACTATTATTAGCTTCTAGTTTTTTCAATTTTTTTTTAAAGCAAGGTTTCATTCCTTTTTCCAATCCTGATTTTTCTAGAAGCAGTATAATTGAAGGATGTTCAATAAATCCTGATTTGATTTTTACACTTCAGCGCAATAGCAATGATAGTGATCAATTTTATTTAAATGGAACTGCCTCTCTGTTACCTTTTTGCAGCTTTTACTCAAGACATGTCTCACAAACTGTTCCTTTGAGGCTAGTTACACAGGGCAGACATTATGCACCGGTTGATATTAACCAACATGATGGTCTTTATTCTGTAAGCCAAAGTAATGCAGTTCAGATATTTATTGGGTCCTCAGATTCTACCAAAGCTGATGAATTTAATAAGGCTGTGGAATTACTGTCAGAAATTTATAAACAACTGGATCTACCATTTAGAGTAATTAAAATACATCCTACTCAGTTAGAGCTTGCAGAAGCACTGAAGGTTAGTTTCCAGGTCCATTCTCCGTTCAAAAACGAATATATCGAAGTTGGAAATTTATCTTTTTATGGAGACTACATTAGTAAAAAACTTAGAATCTATTATAAAGATAATGAAACTATTAATTTCATGTCTATGATTTCTGGAACCATCTTAAAAATTCCACCTCTTTTGGGTACCTTTTTAGAGAATAAAAGAGACTGTAAAATACCTGAAGGAATTTTAGCTTATGCTTGATGAAGTGAGTATGTAATGTATTATTTTGGTTGTCATAAAACTTTTTGAAGATATGTCAAGAATCAAATATCTTTATAATTTATTTTTTCAACTTCTATAATTATTTTCATTTTTGTATTTTTTTTTCTTTCTGAAAAAGGTTATTTTCTGTTATGTAAGTAATGTTAGGGTACTTACCATCTCATATTTAGTATTATGTGATTAACTAGTTTTGACGTAAGAGACTTGTTAATATTCTAGAAAATAGTTTTATGTCTTAAAAATTTAAAACTTAAAAAAGGAAGTGGCTGTAATAGTAATTCATGGTTACAGCAGTAATAAGAATATTTGTTCAAAACATAGTTAATATATTTTAGGGATTGATAGTTGGGATGTAGACACAAAATAAAAATTATGTAAATTATTTCAATTTATTATTTTACCCCTAATCATAATTTCTAGATTGGATTCACAGCAAAATATCTCTATTTATATATTTATGATTAAAGACCAACTTTCAAATTTGAGTCTACTGCCCCCTAAAAAAAACAAATCAGGGTCAGAGATGAGCTAATGTCCTCCAATTACTAGCTAAGTATTGGCCCGCTTAACAATAAATGTACATCCTACACCCTAAGTTATTTTGTGCAGCTCAATTATCCAAAAACTTAACGTTAATAATTCTTGACTCCTCAAATGCTCCAGATTATCTGTTTGATAGTTTTGTATTAGTAAGAGAATACAATATCCATATTCCTTGCTGTAGATACTGTTCAGGTTGGTTAGTTAAGCCTTTTAGACATAATAAAAAATATATAATGGAAATAAATTATTAATGAACTTAATTTTTAATGATATGGAGATGGTTTACCGTGGATTTAATTTCAGAAGTTAATCGGGGGTGTGGTCGAAAAATACTGTATTATATAATGGTATATTTTATTACATTGTCCCTGAGGAGAGTGTAATAAAAATATTATTATATAATATAATATTTTTTGATCGCACCGCTGACTAACTTATGAGATGAGATGTCCATTATTTAGTGAAGGAATCTAAAAATTTCCCATTGCAGTATTCAGGTTAAAAAGACTTGAACATCTAATTATGTCAAATCGATAATATATATTTATATTTTTTAATTTCATAAATTTAAAACAATTCAGTTTTGTCTGATAGATAACCATTTTTAGCGTACAGAATTACTCTACTTACTGGACTTGAAACTTTAAAGCCAGAGGCTAAAAAGAACAAGTACTCAGAACTAAAGCTCACATCATTCACTAAAACCCACTATTAAGAATGAAAACTTTTTTTTTAATGATAACAGATCTTTTCGACCAACTGCAGTGAAGAAGTTTGAAACAGTTCATCCATTGTTAATACTGCCATTTGAAGCAAAGACTGCCGTTGTGAAGAGCATGTGATGAAAAATTCAAGGAGTAGGATTAGAAAATAAATTAGAATTAGAATAACCTCACTTTTTTTTTTGTTTTATAATTTTTATCATAAAACCTAAAAATGCTATATAATTCAACTCCACATCATCTTTTGGAGCTTTAGTAGGTAAACATGATACCATAAGTGCTAGTTCATATACTAACTACATAAATATTTATAATCTAAACAACTTTATAACTATAATTAAAGAACACAAAATAAGGAAATGCATATTTTTTCTAACATGATTTAGTTTAGGCTATTAATAATAAACAATGCAAGTGCGATAAAGCAATCATTCCTCAGAGCCACCACAATTAAGTTTTACTTAATTAACAAACTCAAATAAATTTATTGAAGTTATATATAGAATTATTTTTCAATATAGTAATTTTTAAGTATTATTTTCCATAAAAATAATATTATTGCTTAAAATTGTCATTGGTTAAATTAAGTTATCTACATAAAAATATAATTTAAAAATGAGCATTCCACTGTTTTGCCCAAAACAAAGGTTTGGTCAGAGCTGATAAGCATTAGAAATAATATTAGATATTTTGTTCTAAAACAGATAGAATATTTCATCAGTTTTCTAATTTGTGTGCAACTTGAAAATGGTTTTAAAATTTAATAAACTAAAAATATTTTGAATTCATCAATTTAATAAGTACAAATAGGTGACATACCATCAGAGTAACTTTCTATTAAGTACAAGTATACTAATGAAAAAAGTTAATAAAAAAAATATAAAATGGTTAAAAATGAAACCCTTATAGAAAACATTAATGTGATGAAATATAATTAAATATATCAAACAAAATGTCAAAATTACTGTAAGTTATTCTAATACAGTTTGTAGTCAGTATTAGCCTGAAGAAAGAGCATACAAAAAATATATAGTACTGAATACAGAAAGAGGAAGAGAAACATGATTCAAAGAAGTGTTAAGAATAAATATGAATATCTAAAAAACTCCTCAAAATAAAATAAAAATATATTGTATTATTGGACCTTTCTAGATTATTCTTATATAAATGCTAGACAGTAAATAATAAGAGACGCACAATAGATCCATAAGAGTTACAGTGCTTTAAGCCAAAAATGAAATAAGAATGTTGGTAAAACTTGCTCATAAATTATGATCTCCAGTATAGGTCTTCATTTGTTACCCGATGCAATAAATCTGTTGATTAGTTGTTACATTGATAATATCTGTATACACTAGCGGATCCAAGATTTAATTTTTGGTGGGACTTCAGCCCGAAAGCTTTTTTATTTTCATAAAAATAACGATAATAACTTTGGAAAAACAGAAAGAAACTAACTAACTATATGAAATGGTATTTAAGTGGTTCCTTAAATCCTTTTAAATGTAATTACACGAACCGCCAATAGATCCGCCCGTGCCTGTATATCGTAATTAACACTTTGTTGACCAGCAATTGTAACAGAAACTATGTCATGTAACGAGCAATTATTTTGTTATAGAATATGAAATAATGCAAGAGCAATGATGAGTTAAGTCGTTTGTCAAAAACACCTGGGCATGAAAAGACGAGTTAACTTACTACCGTTCAACAACGTTAGGCCAGAAAACGATAAGTTGACTCATCACCAGTTAACAATGTGTTGATTACAAAATCCATGATCATGAAAAACTTGAAATTTCAAAAATAATAAAAGTATGATATTACCATTACTAGTGCAACTAGTGGGTTTTTGGTATTTTTGCCAACCACTTACAGCACCTAGAGGGTGCCACCATATACTAACTTAAGTGAGAGTTCACCTCTCAGTGTTCCCCATCAGTAAATAATAACTGACCCAGGAGAGAATTGAACCCACAAAATTCTGGGATCCTAACCACGAGGGTTTTAAGGTGAAATAATTAGCCCATTAAAAAAAAAAAAAAATGGATATTTGCTTCATACAATTGTGTCTAACCATGTAACCAACATGGTATTTCAGAGTTGGGTCATGCAAAAATCTGGTTATTTATAATTGATAGTTACATAACTTTGGCTTAACAACCTCAATTTCATTCACACAGGTTTGTTCCATTGAGGCAATACTTGGTCTAAAGTTTAATTCATTTTATAAACAAGTTCTTAATTATGCACACTTTACTACTAAAATCAAATAAATTACATGCCTCTAATGAAATGATTCATAAAATAAGTATTTATTGACTAATGTTTATCAAGACATATACATCTGACATTCCTCTCATGTACTTTTCAAGTTCCTTTCTGAAAATTCGTGCATACATCAGGACATCTTCAATCCTGATGCCTATTTGGTGTTATGTGATATATGTTTCAATTAACTACTATCACATCCTTATATCAACAAATAATACTAGTAATCATAGATTTTTTTAAAGCTAAACTCAATATTAGGAATAAAAGGCAGCTCGAATAAGGGTATGACTAGTATACTTAAGTCTATCGATCTCGTTGGCACTACAACCCGGGGAGTGGCCTCCTTTAGGAGCTCACCTTCCAGCTCGATCCATTGCCACTGCCTTCCAGTTTGGTGCTCCTAATAGTATCCTGGAGTTAGGCACCATACTATCAATCCATCTTAGCCTGGTTTTGCCTCTCCTCCTGGTGTGATCAATCCTATCCTCAAGGACTCTTCTGGAAATGTCACCCTCCTCTATCCGAATCATATGGCCGTCCCAACTTAGCCTTCTAAGTTTTATGAAGTTGAAGACATGTAAGTCATTATACAGAGTGTATTTATAAATTCAGAGTGTATGTATAAATTCAGGTTTCTTCTGGTCCTCCAAACTTCTCCTTCTTTCTGAGAGCCATTTATTCGTCAGAAAATTTTCCGTTCATATATGAGGAGGCTATTCTCATCACCCTTTGTCATCGTACATGTTTATGACGCATAGGTCAACACCGGCCTAATCAAAGTATAATATAGTCTTGGCTTAGTTTGCCTTGTGAGTAATTGGTTCCTGATCTGCCTCTTTAAGCCAAAATAGCAACGGTTGGCTGCTACTATCTTCTCTCCTATTTCCTTCGACATGCCATTGGTCTATGTCACAAGGGATCCGAGGTAGGTAAACTCCTGTACTCTTTGAAATTTGTATATAAAACTATATAACTTTCGACTTTCTGAGCTCTGTCGGCCTTCACTACCATATATTTAGTTTTGGCCTCATTTATCTCAAGGCCCAACAGCAAAGCTGCCTGTTGAATTGCAAGAAAAGCTTTACTTAGCTCAGATTTGGATCTTGTAATTATGTCAATATTGCCAGCAAAATCCACTTCCAAAGCCATTCTGGTACTTTCCTACTATTTATTTGGTATAGGGACACAATCGATTGAAGAGAGTTCCAGAAAGAATTTTATATACTGATGGTAAGAGCGATATTCCTCTATAATTTTTGTAATCAAGCCTATCACCTTTTTTGTGGATTGGACAAATTATTCTTTTTTTCCACTCTGTTGGCATCTTTTCATCAATCCAAATCTGCACCATCAAATTATGAAGGGCCTTCTACAATTGTTCACCTCAATGTTTAATAAGCGCTACTGCAAGGCCATCCAAACCCCGACTTTTGTAGTTTTTCATTCTATGGATCACTTCCATAACTTCTTCAAAATCAGGAGGGAGTTCATTCTCTTCTTCAGAGTTCTCGTTTAGACTTAGATTCAACTTAAGTATAAATCTCAATCATAGGATTCACGGTGCTGGTTATTGATTACCCATTGAGACAAGGAAAGTTAGATGTATTAATACAATTGGTTAATAAAAATAGGTCACAAAGTTAAAGCATTCAATAAACAAACACATATACGGGACAGGAAGAAGTATATTATCAAGCAAAGCTTTAAGTTCCATTCCAACAGTTACAAAAGAATTTTTGATGTGAAAACTTCTTTAGGCACATTTTGCATTTTTTTGGGGGAGATTGAATTAGATTGAGCCGTCAGATCTCCGATGTGTAATCCTTGGGTTAAGCTGGAGCTGGAGTCG